TTTTTAAGGTTGAGGGATGTTAAAAAGATGACTTGTACACTGTTCACAGTCTGGTTACTAACACATAATGGATAAATTACATCGTGACAAATCTAATAATGTACAAAAATATCATGGCGTAGTTTACAATAAAATGAACCATGTTTAAGACAATCAAAATATATTTTTTAGCTTTTCAGAGACACTTATAGCTTCTATTAACACCATTCTAATTTTCTAGTCTTTATATGTGTATCAGTGACACTTATAGCTTCTATTTACACCATTCTGTTTTTCTAGTCTTTGTATGTGTATCAGAGACACTTATAGCTTCTATTTACACCATTCTGATTTTCTAGTCTTTGTATGTGTATCAGTGACACTTATAGCTTCTATATACACCATTCTGATTTTCTAGTCTTTGTATGTGTATCAGTGACACTTATAGCTTCTATTTACACCATTCTGTTTTTCTAGTCTGTGTATGTGTATCAGGGAGACTTATACCTTCTATATACACCATTCTGATTTTCTAGTCTTTGTATGTGTATCAGTGACACTTATAGCTTCTATTTACACCATTCTGATTTTTTAGTCTTTGTATGTGTATCAGGTACACTTATAGCTTCTGTTTACACCATTCTGTTTTTCTAGTCTTTGTATGTGTATCAGAGACACTTATAGCTTCTATTTACACCATTCTGTTTTTCTAGTCTGTGTATGTGTATCAGGGGACACTTATAGCTTCTATTTACACCATTCTGATTTTCTAGTCTTTGTATGTATATCGGGGACACTTATAGCTTCTATTTACACCATTCTGATGGTTTGAATGGTATATACTATAGAAATTGGACATGAAACAATGTAAATATAAGCTATAAGGCTCTCTGAAAGAGATGGTAAAAAGGTAAAAAGTCAAATTCAAAAAGAATTATTGAGGTTCAAAAACTCTGTTCCCGGTTTATTTCCTATGATTGATGATTGAATTCAGCCCATAAATCATTAACACCCTTTCCTTTCACGTGTTCTAAATCATTAACACATTCAACCAATCAAAAACTCTCTTTATGTTTTAGATTCAGCTTTTATCTTTTGTATAGCCACTTCAGGTAGGTTCTAAAGACAGCCCTTTTGAACGTTCCTCAAAAATGCCAATGTTAGTAGAAATTTGGTTGTTCAAAGCAGACAGGTTAGGTCAAAAGGTTAATTTGACGAACGTTCAAGAGGGCAGTCGTTAGACCCTAATTGAAGTGGCTTTATTAAAAAAAAAAGGAAATAAAAAAACGGAACGAAATTTTGTCTAATTTTAATAAGACTTCGATATTTATTGTGAAATTCAAAACGTGGTAGACAAGGCTTTTATTAAACAGAGGATTTCATTGGTTGACTGTCTGAATGACCTAGAATAAATGTTATATAACAATTTCATCAGATCATGCACGGTGGAAAAACATAAAACAAAATATCTAAATCTGTTTTTAACATATAGGCACAATTCAGCAATAAATAATATACATATATATTATATATATTAATATCTAGCAGTTTACTTGGTCAACCTGCTTCTCTTTTAATTCAGAATTCACCAGCCGTCACCAGCCGTAAAATACCACTAAAACTCATATACAGACGTGAATTCAATTAAAATAAGACCAAACTTTGATTCTGTTTTTATCAGCTTTTATTTTTAATATAGCCACTTCAGTTAGGGTCTAACGACAGTCTCCTTGAACAATCGTCAAATTAACCTTTTAACCAAACCTTATAAACTCTGCATCACAAAATGCAAGGGTAGAAATTTGATTCGTTCAAGCAGACGTCATCGAGTTAAATAAAAGTTAATTTGACAAACGTTCTGGGCTGTCATTAGACCTTAAATGAAGCGGCTATATAAAAAATAAAGGCGAATAAAAAACAGAATAAAAGGTCTAATTTTAATTAAACTGGTACTTTATTATCCCAAACTGGAGGAGAACTGAAGGAAGTAAAATTGATTCAAACAACGGAGGTTTCTCTGCTTTTACACTTTGAAATGCCTACCCCGTGTTTACATTATTGAGATTCTGTTTCTATTAAATCCTAACAGATATAGATGGCCAGCTGATATAGATTATCAGTTATCTCATTAACTAAATCACTACACTGGATTTTTAAAGAGGTTGTATGCAAAATTTTTTATTATCAAAAATTATAAGCTACCTGAAAATATTTCTTAAGCACGTTATATATATCTATGTATCTACTTGATCAAACTCAATTTGTTTTATAAGGGTGAATTACAAACTTTGTAATAGTTTTGGTGTTAAAAAATTAATAAAAACTTAAAACTTTCAGATCAGTTAAATGCCACATTTCTCTAGATTTTGGTGTATTGTTTTCCTAAATTTCAGCTTCAAAATAAAAAACATACAAAATAATCATGTCACTTTAAATCTTGATTCACAAAGCAATTAGATAACTCCTACTCTTACTGAGACAGTATTAAAGTTAGGTATTCAAATAAACTCTAGGTTTAAATCTAGAGAAATGTGTCATGTACCTTATCCAAGTTTTAAGTCTAATCTTTCTAATCCTGTTGATTATTGTTAGGTTGACTAACTATTTGAAAGATTAACGTGAAGTTTTATAAGTATATTTTATATTGTAATGATTGACTAGAATCCAGTAAGAATGTAGGTAACTTACAGTAACTTGACATATTCTTCAGTTAAAGTGAACCTTAATTCTCTTAATTATTATGCTCAGTTTTACAACCCCAAATTCAGATTTCAAACCAAAAGCTTAAAGATGGGTTTCCTTATTCTCATTTATAAAAATTAAAAATGCTAATACTTATATGAATAGAAAGTAGAGGTGTTCTAATGACTTGGAAAAATACCAGTTTGTCTCACATGTCCATAATTAATTCATAATTAGCTAAATTATAAGAGAATTACCAGCAGAATTCCAATGAGTGACCGATAAAGAAAGGTCTAAAAGTCTTTTTTTGTTTATCCAGACTGTACATACATGGACCTTTATGATAGTTTAAAACTCTTAATTATATGTGATAAGAACATAATGATATGATTAAGAATACATGATAATTCATTAGAAACATCAATTAATCAAATAAAAAAAAGGGAACCCATCTTTAAAACGTGTGCTTTAAGTTAAGACCATGACTAAGAGTGACAGGAAAGTTCAAAACAGAAGCTTATAGTCTAAGCTGTGGTTTAAAACCAAATGAAGCCATTGAAACCAGGCCAGGCTCATGAAAAAGATAAAAACTTTGGCTCTTACCTATGGAGCCCCTTTTCTGTACTTTTATAAAATATTTCGTTTTAAGAATTAATTATTTTGCTATGCGAATTAACTAATTCGTTTGAATGAAATAACATCATATATTTCGTTTAAACGAAATATTTTATAAAAGTATGGAAAATTGCATCAAAGGGGCTCCGTACTTACCCAAGGATTTAGATCAAATTGTGCCCTCACACCCTTGGTTGTGAGTTCTCAACACCATTCACAACTCAGTAGTATATGAGTTGCAATTGACATTTATAGCCACTTTTCTTGTTCACAAATATACACTATGGTGTGTGAGTTCACCTTATGCTTAAAGTGATAATTCGTCTAAGAATTAACATAAAATTTAAGAATTTTAAACTTGGCGAATAAGAGCCAGTAGATATATCTGGTGTTATAAATAACATAACAGGATCCTTATTTAATCCGATAAATCTAAAAAACTTAGTAATTATCCATAAATATGCAATTTACTATTGAAAAACACTTAATATCAAGATTAAGCGTTTTTCAATATTTACTTAGTTTTATGAATTTTCCAATTTTCCTGATTTTACAGGGATTCTGTTGTAACTTTATGACACCAGGTAAGTTCACTGATGAATATATACTCATATTGATCATTCTTGAGAATTAAATTTTATGTTCATTCTAAGACGTAGGATCACTTCAACAAGTCCTAAATAAGTAGCTAACTCCAGACCCGGATCAAAACTTAAAACCCTTCAACTGTGAGAGTGGATGTATTCACTAACTATATTTTTGATTAGTCTTTCTACTTTGTACAAATTTACAATTAAAAACAAGATTTTACACGACTTCACAAACTAGTCATGATTATTATATTTAATGCTTGTACCACGATTTACTCAGGGACCAGGGGTGAAGAAACAGCAACCTGTCATGTCTGATACAGGCAAAAAATATTAATGATATAGCAAACTACTGCTTCTCAACTTTCATTTTTTCTAAAAGTTTTTTGAAAACATTTGGACCTGACTAAAATTAGTTTAAACATAACAAAACTTGACCAAGGGACTAAGGGTGGAGAAACTATAGCTAGGCCTGTCTGATAAAATCAGCTGGCCGGTCAAGAAGTTAATTTGATGTACGCTCAATTAAGGGCTGTAGTTAGACCCTAACTGAAGTGACTATATCAAAAATTTAAAAGCTAATAAAAAAAACAGAACGAAAGTTTTCTGATCCATGCAAAGTTCTTTTTATGATTTTGCAAACTACATTTGGTCCTCATGAAGCTTTTTATATGACTAAACTTGTTCAGTAGCAAAAATACCCCCAAAAATACGAAAAATTTTGTTATCTGACTAAGGACTAGCTGGTAAAAAGGGATCTTTGTGAACCTAAGTTGTTATCCTTGTAAAATATAATTGTTTCTTTCATGATTATGAATTTCCAAAACTCTTATAGTGAACATGCTGAAAAAGAAACATTAGCTTAATGAAATCTGTGGATGCTGTGTTGACCAATCCACCATTATAAACAAATAAGCTACATGAACTGTGTGAACATTATCAACTGTGTGAACTAAATGTTGAGTTGATAAAGCCAGTAGCAGATTGACATGAAGTGGTCCAGAAAAGTCACTGTCTCTTCATCCCTGGTACAGACAAACTGTTTGTTTTAACCGAGAGTATATAAGTAACGAAACACGACAATAAAGTTACTATACACTACAATATTCGATGTAAACAATCCACATTACTCTGTCAGGATATTATGGCTTTACTGCTGAATCGTCGTGTTGCTTTCGAACCATCCAGACTTCCCGATCTGTGATGATTTGATTTGGACCAGAGTTTTAATTTATCTTCACAAACACTCGACATGGCCTGTAATAGTAATAATGTTAAACATAATAATGATATACTTTATTTAAGATTAATGACTCTAAATAAGTTTACTTCTGGTAATAAAATTATGATAGACGGACTATAATAAGAACAATGATGAATGACAATATTAATGATGATTAGTAAAAAATAATGATGAACTAAACAATAACAACGATGATAATGATTAGTAAAAAATAATGATATCAACATGATATTAAATGAAAATGATAAGATAGTGGATCACAGCCATATACGCCCACCACGGCATGCGGATGGCAAATATTCAAGATTTTGGGACAAGGGCAATAACTCTGCTTCTAACAGTCAAAAATAGCTTAAATTCGAACTTGATCGTCGTTTTATGAATATGTATGCACATAGAGAATTTCATTTGATTCCATCAATAAATCTAGTTTTTAGAGCGTTTACAAGCAAATGTTGACGGGAGGACGGACAGGGTTGCTGACAATATACGTCCACATAGAAAATTTCATTTGAAAAAAATAAAAAGTATAAATAATTTACCTCTAATTTCAATGCTCTTTCTTTACTTAAAGGTTCCATTGGAAAGACTAAATCATGAGCATCAGCCAACTCTCGCAGGTGAAAATAATATTTAGCATAAATACTAGAAGGTACGTTAATGTTAAACTGTAAAGCTTCTAAAAACTGTCTTTCTAATTCATTCCTAGAACACAAAAATATTTAAGTAAATACCTAAAAGGCTAAAATTCAGCTCTATCAGTATTTAGATGACTATACAGATAGCTGAAATTGAGCTCTATCAGCTGGTAAAGTAAATATTTAGATGACTATACAGATAGCTGAAATTGAGTTCTATCAGCTGGTAAAGTAAATATTTAGATGACTATACAGATAATATTAAGATGACTATACAGATAGCTGAAATTGAGCTCTATCAGTTGGTAAAGTAAATATTTAGATGACTATACAGATAGCTGAAATTGAGTTCTATCAGCTGGTAAAGTAAATATTTAGATGACTATACAGATAGCTGAAGTTGAGTTCTATCAGTTGGTAAAGTAAATATTTAGATGACTATACAGATAGCTGAAATTGAGTTCTATCAGCTGGTATAGTAAATATTTAGATGACTATATAGATAGTTGAAATTGAGCTCTATCAGCTGGTATAGTAAATATATAGATGACTATACAGATAGCTGAAATTGAGTTATATCAGCTGGTATAGTAAATATTTAGATATATATACAGATAGCTGAAGTTGAGTTCTATCAGCTGGTAAAGTAAATATTTAGATATACAGATAGACAGCTTACAATATCAATATCTTTTGAGCTCATATCAGTTTTCTAGATGATTAAATGCCTTCAAACCAACTTACATATCTTCTACGGCTATATCCTTTAATATCTGACAGAAATCAACGTTCCATACAGCCTGGTCGTCCCAGACTTTCGAGGCCAGTAAAATAGCACCGAGTATAATCCTCTTCCAGTTCGCAGGCATGATGTCAATTTCTGTATAGGTGAGCAATCGTTCAAGATAGACCTATAAAAAATACACATTATTATCATGTTACTTGTGCAACTTCAGTAGGGACTCAGGATGATAATAGATCAGTTGTCTGAAGATCTCTACTTGTCAAACTTCAGTAGAGACACAGGCTGAAATAGATCAGTTGTTTGAAGATCTCTACTTGTAAAACTTCAGTAGAGACACAGGCTGATATAGATCAGTTGTCTGAAGATCTCTACTTGTCAAACTTCAGTAGAGACACAGGCTGAAATAGATCAGTTGTCTGAAGATCTCTACTTGTCAAACTTCAGTAGAGACACAGGCTGAAATAGATCAGTTGTCTATTCTACAGTTGTCTGAAGATTGTATAGCGTGAAACTCTGAGTAACAACATGTTTCAAGTTCTGTTTTAATATTTCTATGTTACAAGCTATGTGGGCTAGAATAGATATGTTATGTGGACTCTCTCAAACAGTTTAGGTGAGAAATTGTTCAAGATAGACCTACAAAAAATATGCCATATCATAATATGTTATGTGGACTCTCTGAAATAGGTCTGTGCAGTCTCAAAGGTTTCAAATATGTATTTTTCCTTTCTTCTGTCTATGAGAAAGGTTTTAATATAAATAGTGTAATGTTAATGATACAAGGACAATTCTAGCTCAATAATAACCATCATATTGGTGTTTAATGAAAAAAAAACATTGGCTAACAGCTCTTGCTCCGTCCAATAATACACCTTACAGGCAGTAAAATATATATATACTTTAAAATAAGTAAAAGTATTGCAATGAGGGCAATAACCGTGAGTGCACACTGCCATCATGAGCTCTATAGTCAATAATGATATCAAGATATAATCTGAATATAACCGTTAGTTAACCGTGAGTGCACACTGCCCCTACATGAGCTCTATAGTCAATAATGATATCAAGATATAATCTGAATATAAACTTACTAAAGTAACAATAGCACATTCTGATGTCAACTGAGCAGCATTAAATAAATTGCGTACAAATCTATAAATAGTTTTATGTTCGGGATCACGTTTATCATAATCAGACTGGACAGGTTCTTTCTAAAATAATATAATAATACACTGTAGATATAGGTGGTAGGATTAACAGAGAGAGATCTTACCAATCAACTGTATTGGGATACAGCGACTTGATAGACTCTGTAATGGTTTAGCTTTATAGCCTACAGATACCTACAGATTATGTGGAGAAAGCCACCCCTTCACCTGTTTTGTGGTACCATGAGGCAAAGGGACATTGTAAAATACAATGGGGGCCCAGGGACTTGATGACTTGATGAACTCTTTAATGGTTCAGCATTATAGCCCACAGATACCAACAATCATGTCAAATTTAGTTGTATAATTTGAAGGAAAAAGCCCCTCAACCCCCTCCCCTACTCCCCATTGTGGGGTAAAGGGTCATTATAGAAATGACTTGATGAACTCATTAATAGTTCAGCTTTAAACAGGTATCAGAAAAAAATTCCAAATTTAGCTTTTGTCATTGTCACAGTGAAATTTCTCAAAAACTATTCCATCTTCATTAGCCACTAGGTGAAGAATTGTGGAGAAAAGTAAAACTTAAAAGTCAATTCATTTCATCTCATTCTCACAAACTTACTATCCAAAATAGAATAGGAGCAAGTGCCAAAGGTTTATATTTGAATTTATGCTGATCTCATCATTTTATCACATCAGAGTTATTTGTCAGATTTAGATTTGTCAGACTTCAACATGAGATGACGTCTTGTTAATAAAATTGATAACTTACAGATAGAGGATATTTCTTCTCATCAAAGATGATTAACGTCCGAGCTTCCTGACCATTCCGAGAGAAATTCCTGTTTTTAATATGAAAATAAATGGCAAGTGCTACAGCTTTAATAGTATTTTTTAGGTTTGGTTGTGAGACAGTTGAATCATCTATAAATATCGTAGAACATGAACTGAATTTCCTTAACTGACCACTCTCATCAATCTACAAAATAATAATTATAAAATGTGAATCACTTCATTAGCTGCCATCATGTTGTTATGGATTTCGAGTTTCGTTTTGCAGTGCGGATCATTAGTACTTGTTTTATTTATTCACCTTGTAACCAGAACGAATTATCTAAAACAAAGTACCGTTACACCAAATTCCAAACTGGCTACTTTTCTGAACATGTGACATTCTGATGTAAACAAACTAAAACGAAGCTAGTGCAGCAATGTTTTGGATCAGTTTTCATACCTAATAGTTTCCTATAACTTTGTTTACATGCAAGCCAATAAACAACATGTGATTGAAGCTGTCTACCATGTGGTTTTTTTTTTCTATGAAAGAATGACATAGTTCTTATACTCTTCCTCAGTAAAACTAACAGTAGATATCCCCTACCCTCCGTCAGTAAAACTATCAGGAGATATCCCCTGCCCCCCCTCAGTAAAACTATCAGATATATCCCCTACCTTCCCTCAGTAAAACTATCAATAGATATCCCCATACCCTCCCTCAGTAAAACTATCAGTAGATATCCCCTACCCTCCCTCAGCAAAACTATCAGGAGATATCCCCTACCCTCCCTCAGTAAAACTATCAGGAGATATCCCCTACCCTCCGTCAGTAAAACTATCAATAGATATCCCCTACCCTCCCTCAGCAAAACTATCAGGAGATATCCCCAACCCTCCCTCAGTAAAACTATCAGTAGATATCCCCTACCCTCCGTCAGTGATATCCCCTACCCTCCGTCAGTAAAACTATCAGGAGATATCCCCAACCCTTATCAGTAGATATCCCCTACCCTCCCTCAGTAAAACTATCAGTAGATATCCCCTACCCTCCCTCAGTAAAACTATCAGTAGATATCCCCAACCCTTCCTTAGTAAAACTATCAGTAGATATCCTCTACCCTCCATCAGTAAAACTATCAGATATATCCCCTACCTTCCCTCAGTAAAACTATCAGTAGATATCCCCATACCCTCCCTCAGTAAAACTAACAGTAGATATCCCCTACCCTCCCTCAGTAAAACTAACAGTAGATATCCCCTACCCTCCCTCAGTAAAACTATCAGTAGATATCCTCTACCCTCCCTCAGTAAAACTATCAGTAGATATCCCAAACATTTCCTTAGTAAAACTATCAGTAGATATCCCATACCTTCCATCAGTAAAACTATCAGGAGATATCCCCTACCCTCCGTCAGTAAAACTATCAGGAGATATCCCCAACCCTCCCTCAGTAAAACTATCAGGAGATATCCCCTACCCTCCCTCAGTAAAACTATCAGGAGATATCCCCTACCCTCCCTCAGTAAAACTAACAGTAGATATCCCCTACCCTCCCTCAGTAAAACTAACAGTAGATATCCCCTACCCTCCATCAGTAAAACTATCAGTAGATATCCCCTACATTCCCTCAGTAAAACTAACAGTAGATATCCCCTACCCTCCATCAGTAAAACAATCAGTAGATATCCTCTACCCTCCCTCAGTAAAACTATCAGTAGATATCCCCAACCCTCCCTCAGTAAAACTAACAGTAGATATCCCCTACCCTCCCTCAGTAAAACTATCAGGAGATATCCCCTACCCTCCCTCAGTAAAACTAACAGTAGATATCCCCTACCCTCCATCAGTAAAACTATCAGTAGATATCCCCTACCCTCCCTCAGTAAAACTATCAGTAGATATCGCCTCCCCTCCCTCAATAAAACTATCAGTAGATATCCCCTACCCTCCATCAGTAAAACTATCAGGAGATATCCCCTACCCTCCCTCAGTAAAACAATCAGTAGATATCCTCTACCATCCCTCAGTAACAATCTGTAGATAACTTACGTGTCGATGCTGACCATCTGAAGTGTAGATTAACTGACTGCGTCTTTTATTATCTACAACGTTAAAATAAAAAAATATCCTCCTTAACAAATTACATTTTAAATTTTCTCATGATTATATTTTCATCAACATAAAGATAATATTAAACTAATATTACTCTTGTGAAACTGAAAATCAAATTCTCAAAAATATAACCAGTAGAATCCAATTCATAATAATAATAATAATAATAACAGTTTATTAAGTTTCGGGCGAAGCCGAAAAACCATATTACATACCATATGTACATTAAATATACATAGATATAAATTATTTACAAGATATACTGCTGTATGATAGATAATATAAATACATGACCTTTTTGAGTCATGTAGTTTAAATGCATCATCAAATGTAACCATCCTTTTGATAAGTATGCAAATATAACAAGACAAGAATGACAAGAAAAAATTATTTTAAACAATGACTTACTTTTCTGTACTTCAATCTCTGATCTTGATGAAAATAATGGTTTGGCGTACGGATTGTTTGATGGATCTGAATCAATTTCTACAAAAAAATCAAAAACAACTTTTTCAACATAAATGTCAGTCTAGAGTCTAGACATAAATTTTTATTTTGAATATTTATGAAATGAGAAAAAATTCAATTCAAAGATCAATGTAGTCAAACATTAGGACTGAGGTTAAACGAAAATCAAAAGTTGGAATTCGAAAGAGAGCAGGCTAACGCCGCGGTTCTTGCAAAATTTCCCTCATCGCACCCTGCATGGTGTTGCCCATCTTCATTAGCCCACATGGTGCAGAAAAGTAGGATGTAAACCTCCAATCATTTCATTTCCAATATTACCTTCTGGCTCTCGTTCACTAATATGAGGCACGGCAGTTAGTGATGTAGAGTTGGCTTGCTGCGTCAGCATATGACCCGATTCTTCCTGAACCCTTGACGGCTGGTAGATCTCTTCTTTGTGCTTGCGCCCATTCTTGGATTGAGGAGCGAAGCAACATGCTTGTTTGTTCCCCATTTTGAAATCTTGTAGATGATTGTTCTATGTTGTGATGTATTGTGTTTAAGAGTAAACTCTTATGGCCATTTCTTCACAGAGTCAGCTTATAAATTGCTGGCATGGCAGGAAAGGAACAGTGACTAGGCAATCAGCCATAAAATTTATACTTTTTATTTCTCTCAGACGAGAGTTAAACAATCTAACTTTTGTTTTTTTAAATTTTTGAAAGCAGATGTAAGCTAATTGATGCTGTTTTTGAAGAATTTTTTGTATCTCTCCTTTGTTTGTCTATATTTTGCACACAAATTTTAACAAACAGATTTGGAACTAAAGACACAAGTCCTTGCCTGTAAGACTTAGTTGAGATTCTCACAAATGGACAAGTATGCCTAAAGAGAAAGGTCAGAGATGAATGATGACCCAGACATGTTTGACAGTTAATGTTGTAAACAAAACTACTCAGTCAGATGAGCAATCAGAAGAACAAAGCAATGAAGACGTCGCCACCGGGAAAATTATCAAAACTGAGCAAACACGCTCACGCCCTACAATCAATTTCACTAAGCACTTTAATCTAATCCCAAATATACATCACATATTGTTCAAACTTCGTTGAAATTCACAAATTCTCAAAAATAAAATATTGGCCGGCGACATGACCGGAAATGAATCTCCAATTTCAGTATTCCAGCAGAAAACTAGTAGTCGCGTTCTGATTGGTTGAAATGAAGAGCAGTAAACAAACTGCGGACCTATTTAAGTAAAAATTAACTTCCTGTGCAATTCGCGGGAAGGAATAAACATTTTGTTGAGATAAAATAGAAGTTATAAAAGAAAGAAAAAAATCTCGTTTAATTCAAGGTACAAAAACTTAAATAATGAAAAAAAAACAAGATGTCGAAAAAACCATTGATTTATAGTTCTAATCGGAAGGTACCAAAAACCACATGATTGGGCAAGGAGCCCCATTTTTGTTTGCTTTCACTTTGGTTTGTTTTCACAAATCACAAAGTCATAACAGGAACTTACTTACGTAGTGAGGAAGGATAATGCAGGGCCTGCACTGTAGGCAGGTGTTTGTTGTATTTGGACTTGAGATAAAGGGATGGTGCTTAGCTCATGACAGGATTAGTTTGCGATATCAGCATCTGCTGGAAGCGAACATAACTTGTCATCTACCAACAAACCAACCTTATGACAGGTTCAATCATTTCGTTCTTTAAAGGAATACTACGTCTAAGAATGAACATAAAATTTAAGAAATTTAAATTTGGCTAATAAGTGCATATATACTTGGTGTTATAAATAACATAACAGGATCCTTATATAATCCGATAAATCCAAAAAACTCAGTTATTATTATAATTATTCATAAATATGCAATTAACTATCGAAAAACGCTTAATATTTACATTAAACGTTTTTCAATAATTACTTAGTTTTATGAATTTTCCAATTTTCCAGATTTTACAGGGATTCTGTTGTTACTTTATGACACCAGGTAAGTTCACTGATGAATATATGATCAATATTGATCATTCTTGAGAACTTAAATTTTATGTTCATTCTAAGACGTAGTATCACTTTAAACTATGCATCTAATCAAATGATCAATATAAAAGTACCAGTACTTGTAGGCCATAATAGATACTGTCTTCATCAAAATGACTTTGTATCGGTTTGTGGATTGAAACCAATGAATCATAGATCTAACAATGGGACCGAAGTTGCCAAAATTAAATTAAGAATAGAAAATAACTTAGACAATTGATAGACAATGGGACCAATCAGATATAGATTAAACAGATTAAGATTTAACACTAATGATAATAAAACAACTACTGACTAAATAATTAAATTAAAATAATTAAATAAACATTATCTACTAATTAAAGATGGGTTTTCTTATGTTATTATCAAATTAAGCAAACTATTTGATTAATTGGTGTTTCTAATGAATTATCAATTATCATATTGCATTAAACCAATCATAAATATCCAAGTATGTACAGTCTGGCTGAACAAAAATAGACTTTTTGACCTTTCTTGATGGGTCACTCATTGGAATTCTGCTGGTAATTCTCTGCTAAGTTATCTAATTATGAATTAATTATGGACGTGTGAGTCATTAGATTACCTCTACTTTCTATTCATCTAAGCTTAAGTATTAGCATTTTCATAAATGAAAATAAGGGAACCCATCTTTAAGCTAATAAAAGGAAAAAGTCTGATGTCTGTTTGACCAATCATACCTTACTCTCAGAAGTAAGAAAGTTTTAGCTAAGTTAATCAGTAAGTGTCAACACAGCTCACCGTCAAAATTTGAGGCCTTGTGTTCATGTCTGTTTTTATAACACAGTCATTTATAGACTGTCAATATGATTTCTGATATTCCTATTATATGCAAAGATTTTTACATAAGCTATTATTTTTTCCATTGGAAGAATGCAAATTTGTGTGGCGCATTTATTTTAATTGTCCATAACCATAAGCGTTTATTGTTTTAACACTAGTGCTTACAAGAATGACTAGATAGCTTAATCACTAACTATTGCATCTCCTGCGTTTTATAACACAGTTTGAAAGATACACACCAGTTTTCTCATTCTGAGTCTTTTTATTTCTTTTATTTTGAATGAATTATACAGGTCAGTTTTCACTTTGTGATTGGAAACATTTTATTTATCTGTTATATAAGATTAGCAAGATAAAGGTCAGTTTCCTCTTTATAATTTTGTTCGTTTTTTTCCAGAGTTGTTAGTTAATGTACTAGTTCATGTATTATGAAAAAGGTAATATGTGAAAGGTTTCGAGGGGAGGTAAAATATACCGGTCTACTCAGTGGCTCCATCAACTGGAAAATAGGTTCCATGGAATTATCCAACAGGTCTGGTTCCTGGAAGTGCTACTTATATTCCGATGTTCAAGATAATCCCCTGAAAGTCTGTGATGTAAGTTTTATTTTCCAACTTATAATGGGGGAATCACGGAGTCACAAATATGTTTATATTTACCATTCTGGTTTTTTTTATGTCATCACTACTTTTTGATTGTAGGAATACTGAAATATATAAATATATTTAATTGACGTTATGACATCTACAATGACAGCGCTTTAGAATATTCACACGTGGTTTAAACTTTCATATTATATACTTGGGTTTCAGAATATAGCACATATTTTTCCTACAGATTGCAGAAATTGAGACAAATCACAATAAACTATATATTATCATTTTTGTCTGAAGATTGCATAGTGTGAAACTCTGAGTAACACCATGTTTCAGGTTCAAGTTTAGTCGTCTGAAGATTACATAGTGCGAATCTCTGAGTAACAACATGTTTCAGGTTCTATTTTAGTTGCTTGGAGATCACATAGTGCGAAACTCTGAGTAACAACATGTTTCAGGTTCTGTTTTAATATCTTAATATAACAACTTGAATGGTTTGTTTTCAGGTTTCAGCTAAGAAGATTCATCAAATTATCTTTAAGAACAGGTTGTTAATACAACTGATTAATGATGTTCATATTCATTTTAAACCTAAACATGACAAAGCTATGGTTAAAATTAAAGAAATTTTTGATCAGATTAAAGGCTATTCTCTAGGTAAGATCATGTATTAAGGTATAGTGATAATGATGTTATATAAATCAATATATAGTATGAGTTATTGCCCTTGTTCTTGAAACATTCTAACAGGCACAATTCTTGATGGATTTGGATGAAACTTGGTGTGGATGTTTGTAATCACCCTAGGATAAAGAATATCAAAATTTAAAAAGAATATAAAAAAAGTATTTAAAATGGGACAGGGGAGAACTAAGAAAAGGGAAATAGACATAATGAGAAGGATGGGGGGGGGGGGGGGGGGGTGGGAATAAATTAAAATGGAAAGGTTCAGTATTGGCTATACTGTAGTACCCTGGTTCCCAACCTCTGGTGTTTTGGGACTAGGGTGTCAGGGGTGTGGCCAACTGGTGTAGGAGAAGAATTGAAAGAGTAGTTTTATTTATAAAGATTAATAGGTGTCTCATGAAGTTTATTAAATTTTATAGAGGACAAATCAATGAAATTTGACTCCTGATGAAAATAATGAATGAAACATAACAAATAATTCAGAAAGATTTTAAACAATTTATTTTGTTTCTATGATCAGATGAGAATAGTTTATTGGAGACGCCAGAAAAAAAGAAAAAACGACAAGAAATTACACCAACAAAATCTGTTCCGTTATTATTTAATGGTTACAGTGGATTCGATGACGAGAACATAGAAAATATGGGATCTCTATTTTCTAATGTTCATGGTCAGCCATCTACGCCTAAAGTTGTGAATCAGACTACTTCTCAAAGACAGACATCTACACCTAAACTTATTACAAGAGGCTTCGGCCATCTTTTAAAGGAAAAGAGGTAAGTCAGCTAAGTCAAGAAGTTGCAATGAATCTTGTCTATCTAGAGTCTTTTTTTTAACAAGTACTGATTGTAGTCTGTAGTTGGGACTAGTTATCTCGTGTGTAGCAAATAAAGGTAGATATTCCTACATTCTTTCGTAATTCGATGACAGTTGAGTGAAACTTTCAAAGAATACAATAAAATTTGTATAAATAAAAAGGGAGAGGGGGTTACCTCTGATATCGTTTAGTAACAGGGGTCACAGACCTCTTCTATCTAGATTAATTCCTCTACTTTTCTCACCAGGGGAATTTTGTATATTTTCAAATAAATACAGTAGAAATTTGGTTTGAGTGATGAAATGATTTCGATAAAGGAAATGACTTCCAAAGCATCTTAAAATAGTAAAATTTCCACTTGTCCTGCAGCTGAAATTGTCCACTTCCTCATTGTTTTTAGTTTCTTACCTGGATCCATTTGGTAAAGAATAATAACAAAAATAACAATAATAAACCTATGAAGTATTGCTGAACTTTGACATTGTTTGGTCGACTTTAATTTTGAGCCTAATAGACTAAAACTTGAGCTTATCACTAACATAAGAGAATATTATAGAATAAACACACTTCTTTAATAGAATATTAAACACATAATGTTTCAACGCAAATTACACCTGTCTTCATCAGATGAAAAAAAAACATTATAACATTCTATAATATTGTCTTGTGTTTGTGATTTGTACTCACTTCTGAATATCCTTCAAGTCTTAGATTGAGTTTATCAGCTGATGGAGAAATTTTTGAAACAGATACACAGTATGTAGTGGCACTGGCCAAGACATTTTCGTTAGCACGATTAACCGTTGCAGCCTTACATACACAGTATTTAACGAGAAATGTACCTTGTTATTTTTGTAACAGTGGTTTAATATGAAATATATTTAAATTACAGTCAGAGGAAAGAGAAGACAGAGAAATCTGTAATTATTAAAGATGATAGTGATGATGATGATTTTCAGTTGAATATATTCGATGATTCTAAAGAAAATAAACACAAGTATGTATCTATCATGTTAATTAGTGAATTTAATTAATAACTTTTTTTAAATGGTATTTAGTAATTGGGTAATAAATAACTCGACACAATTTTATTGATAACAATTACTTTGATAAATAACTTGTGACGTTACGACGAAGGTACTTACGTCTTTATCAAGCAGTAGATTTCATGATTTTTCTCTGTGTTATTAGATTCATTGTCCACGATCTTACAATTCTTTTTTGAATTGTGTTCATCTGCAAATGTAAACTGAAATCCCCCAAAGTACTGCCAAAGAGAACTGCAGTAAATACTTTGTCGACAATTTAATGACTAAAAAACTATGTTTTAATCTAGAAATCTCTGTTATATTGGCTATATACTACTGTGTTTTATTCTAGAAATCTCTGTTATATTGACTATATAATACTGTGTTATATTCTAGAAATCTCTGTTATATTGGCAATATAATACTATGTTTTATTCTAGAAATCTCTGTTATATTGGCTATATAATACTATGTTTTAATCTAGAAATCTCTGTTATATTGGCTATATAATACTGTGTTTTAATCTAGAAATCTCTGTTATATTGGCTATATACTACTGTGTTTTATTCTAGAAATCTCTGTTATATTGGCTATATACTACTGTGTTTTAATCTAGAAATCTCTGTTATATTGGCTATATAATACTGTGTTTTATTCTAGAAATCTCTGTTATATTGGCTATATACTACTGTGTTTTAATCTAGAAATCTCTGTTATATTGGCTATATACTACTGTGTTTTATTCTAGAAATCTCTGTTATATTGGCTATATACTACTGTGTTTTAATCTAGAAATCTCTGTTATATTGGCTATATAATACTGTGTTTTATTCTAGAAATCTCTGTTATATTGGCTATATAATACTGTGTTTTAATCTAGAAATCTCTGTTATATTGGCTATATAATACTGTGTTTTAATCTAGAAATCTATGTTATATTGGCTATATAATACTGTGTTTTAATCTAGAAATCTCTGTTATATTGACTATATAATACTGTGTTTTATTCTAGAAATCTCTGTTATATTGGCTATATAATACTGTGTTTTATTCTAGAAATCTCTGTTATATTGGCTATATAATACTGTGTTTTATTCTAGAAATCTCTGTTATATTGGCTATATAATACTGTGTTTTAATCTAGAAATCTCTGTTATATTGGCTATATAATACTGTGTTTTAATCTAGAAATCTCTGTTATATTGGCTATATAATACTGTGTTTTAATCTAGAAATCTCTGTTATATTGACTATATCTAGAATCTCTGTTATATTGGCTATATACTACTGTGTTTTATTCTAGAAATCTCTGTTATATTGGCTATATACTACTGTGTTTTAATCTAGAAATCTCTGTTATATTGACTATATAATACTGTGTTTTAATCTAGAAATCTCTGTTATATTGACTATATAATACTGTGTTTTATTCTAGAAATCTCTGTTATATTGGCTATATAATACTGTGTTTTATTCTAGAAATCTCTGTTATATTGGCTATATAATACTGTGTTTTAATCTAGAAATCTCTGTTATATTGACTATATAATACTGTGTTTTATTCTAGAAATCTCTGTTATATTGGCTATATAATACTGTGTTTTATTCTAGAAATCTCTGTTATATTGACTATATGATACTGTGTTTTAATCTAGAAATCTCTGTTATATTGGCTATATAATACTGTGTTTTAATCTAGAAATCTCTGTTATATTGGCTATATAATACTGTGTTTTAATCTAGAAATCTCTGTTATATTGACTATATAATACTGTGTTTTATTCTAGAAATCTCTGTTATATTGGCTATATAATACTGTGTTTTATTCTAGAAATCTCTGTTATATTGACTATATGATACTGTGTTTTAATCTAGAAATCTCTGTTATATTGGCTATATAATACTGTGTTTTAATCTAGAAATCTCTGTTATATTGGCTATATAATACTGTGTTTTATTCTAGAAATCTCTGTTATATTGGCTATATAATACTGTGTTTTAATCTAGAAATCTCTGTTATATTGGCTATATAATACTGTGTTTTAATCTAGAAATCTCTGTTATATTGGCTGTATAATACTGTGTTTTAATCTAGAAATCTCTGTTATATTGGCTATATACTACTGTGTTTTATTCTAGAAATCTCTGTTATATTGACTATATAATACTGTGTTTTAATCTAGAAATCTCTGTTATATTGGCTATATACTACTGTGTTTTAATCTAGAAATCTCTGTTATATTGGCTGTATAATACTGTGTTTTAATCTAGAAATCTATGTTATATTGGCTATATAATACTGTGTTTTAATCTAGAAATCTCTGTTATATTGGCTATATAATACTGTGTTTTAATCTAGAAATCTCTGTTATATTGGCTATATGATACTGTGTTTTATTCTAGAAATCTCTGTTATATTGGCTATATAATACTGTGTTTTAATCTAGAAATCTCTGTTATATTGGCTATATAATACTGTGTTTTAATCTAGAAATCTCTGTTATATTGGCTATATAAAACTATGTTTTAATCCAGAAATCTCTGTTATATTAACTATATAATACTGTGTTTTATTCTAGGGGACCAACAGGTGCTGTGACACCAGATCAGTTTTTAAAACGAGGTAATGACAAAAGTCGAGAGAAGTTGAAGTCATTAAGTACTGGAGGTTTCTATAGTGGATCTTCTGATACTACAGGCTCTAGACTCTTTACACCGTGAGTCATTTATTTTATTTTATTTTATTTTTTTTCTATTTTTATCCTTTTTTTTTTTTTTTTCTGGTTTTTTATTTTGGCTTAAAAATTCCCGTTCCTGAAACTAGAGTATGATTGGTCAAAAAAACGGTGCATCTGTCCCTTTAAAATGCCTTTAAGAAACAAGGAAACATGAAAAATTAACTTCAGTGGGTCTGGTGTTACAATCAAACAATCAAAACTCAAATTATAAATGCCAAGAATAAATCAGATAATATAGTGATTATATTTTATTTTCAGAAGTTCTAAAAGAAGTCTAGGGTTTATGTCTGATCCACGTCCCAATAAACGATTACGTCTTTCTAACTGTACATATTCCTGGTCTAAAAATAAAACAACACCTAAAGTTGAAACACAGAAAACTAACTCTTTACAAGGGTATGTATTTATTTTGTTGAAAGGATTTAATGTTACAAATCTTTTTCTTGTCTGTTGGTTGATTTGTTTGGTCAGGCATGAATTGATCTGATTGTATCTTATGATGTTGACCTATATAGTTAGTAGTGGTGGGTGTTGCGCTAAACAGACCACGCTAACTCTTTACAAGGGTATGTATATATTTTGTTGAAAGCATTTGATGGTATGAATTAATTTGGTCGTATCTCAGGATGTTGAACTATATAGTAGTGGCAGGTGTCGTACGCTAAACAGACCACACTTATTACTTTTAAAACACCTGATGGTACTTCTCTTTGGAGGATTTCACTACTATACAACTTTTACTCTCGATTTTTTTTTGCCATACTTAGGACGAGATTTTGATTAATAGAATTATCTTGCTTGTACCTTTTAGATAAAATCAGAGAGAAGCCTATTGTTTTATTATATTTTTTTAGGTTTTCTAACCTGGGTAACACACGTTATAAGAATTATCTTGCTTTTATATTTTTAAATGAATGATATGATTCAAGTAACTGAAAGCTCAGAGTGTGATGTTTTAGGCTCTAACATTCGATGTTTACTGTTTATTCCATTAATTTTTTAGGTTTTCTAACCTGGGAAACACGTGTTATATGAACGCCACTCTACAGTCACTATTCGGAATGGATACATTTTCTACTGATTTACTGTTCACTAACCAACATCTGATTAAATCTCTACCGTCTGATTCTCTTTATTAGTAAGTATTCTACTTTCAATTCTCCAGATTTAGGCAGTGAATTAATATCAGACAGCGGCCATTCTCGCTATGCCTGACAAACTCATTTGCAGCTGGCGGATAAATTGGACTACTTTTGTTGGTGACATCTGACTAGTCTCTGACACCCAGACGTCTCCTGTCTACGAGGATAGAGTCGACAAGACAGATAACTAACATCTGGTGAACTATATTTTGTAATGTGGAGGTTACCTCTGCCTAACAATTAAAGAAGATTTTCTTCCATCTGCATACGTGGTTATTGACAGACAATGGCCGCCGTAGATACAAATATATCAGGCCTTCATATATTGTCAGATATTTGAAAGTGATCTAGATGTGGAATTGATCATATTACCTGTCAGATGGGATGATAAACTGATTGTAAGAAATACAGTAATATAATCAGATATAAGACTTAATTTATAATTGAATCTAGTGTTTGAACAATCAGTTGATTGAAATACTAAAATCGTCATAAGATAAATAACTCTAAATTAACCTTTCCTTGACATTGAGTTTTATATTTACAGTCATCTCGGCTCAATTACAAACAGAAACACTACATTATATTCCTAAATGACCCAAAATAAGTACACCTAGCCTTTCTTTCCCTATACATTAGATTTTAAAAAATTTCTAACAAGGTAAGTTACTCTAAATCAACTTCCCCCTTATATTTACAGTCATCTAGCCAGGCTATTAAAAGCGAGGAAGAATACGGCTCTACCTGATTCAATGAAGAGAGAGTTATTACGGAATGTTAAACGAGCGATATCAACCTCTGCTAAAAGATTCTCTGGATATCAGCAACATGTAAGGTTGTTTTATTTCAATATATCTATAGTATTTGCAGGACTAAAAATATTAAAACAGATCCTGAAACATGTTGTTACTCAGAGTTTGATGCTATGTGATCTTCAGACAACTGTAGAATGAAATAGAAATATTAAAACAGATCTTGAAACATGTTGTTACTCAGAGTTTGATGTTATACAATCTTCAGACAACTGATCTATTTCAGTCCCTACTGAAATTTGACAAAAACTTCAACAGAACTCACCCAAGGATGAACCCTATTGAAAATCAAAAGAATCAAATATATTTAGTACGAGTTATTGCCCTTGTTTTTGTAAAATGTAGAATTTTATTAGATCTATTAAAAAGAACCAACAAATTTCCACATATCTTTTTAGGATGCTCATGAATTTTTGGGTCAGGTCTTAGACCAACTGAAAGAAGAAGTGAACAGATTGTCTAAGTCTAAACGAATCTCCCCAGTTAAAGAGTTAAATAACAACACAAGTTTCTCTAACACTGAGTTCGTTAATCCTACGTCTCAAAACTTTGAATTTGAAGTTTTACATACAATACGCTGTATTAGGTAAGTTGTTAACTTGTTGTTTTGATCATAAGATACCAGGTGATATTGACCTGTATAGTAGTGGCGCATGTTGTGAGTAAAGACGACCATACTTACTTTTCTCTTTGGAGAAGTCCACTACTTAAAAACTTCAAACATTCATTGGATGAGATTTTGATTAAAAAATTGTCTTTTTATCCTTATAATTATATAATCCCTCTTTTAGATGTGATGAAGATGTAGAAAAATTAGAGAATTTTAATGATTTGTCACTGGACATGCCTAAACGTTTGTAAGTATATACATCATATTTCTACAATACTTTGCTTATATTTTTAATAAAATAATATATTTGGGTCTAACAACAGCCCTCTTGAACGTTTGTCAAAATAACCTTTTGACCTAACATTGATTATTGATATAAATAAAATCTATTTATAGTAACAATACTAAATATATCTATATTAAGTAACAATGCTATTTTTAATAATGGAACAGAAAATCTAAATTAGTAACAATATAAATGAAATCTATATTTAGAAACAATATAAATGAAATCTATGTTTAATAAAAATATAAATGAAATCTATATTTAGTAACAATATAAATGAAATCTATATATAGTAACAATATAAATGAAATCTAAATTTAGTAACAATATAAATGAAATCTATTTTTAGTAACAATGTAAATGAAATCTAAATTTAGTAACAATATAAATGAAATCTATATTTAGTAACAATATAAATGAAATCTATATTTAGAAACAATATAAATGAAATCTATATTTAGTAACAATATAAATGAAATCTATATTTAGAAACAATATAAATGAAATCTATATTTAGTAACAATATAAATGAAATCTATATTTAGTAACAATATAAATGAAATCTATAATTAGAAACAATATAAATGAAATCTATATTTAGTAACAATATAAATGAAATCTATAATTAGTAACAATAGAAATGAAATGTAAATTTAGTAACAATATAAATGAAATCTATTTTTAGTAACAATGTAAATGAAATCTAAATTTAGTAACAATATAAATAAAATTTATGATTAGTAACAATATAAATGAAATCTAAATTTAGTAACAATGTAAATGAAATCTAAATTTAGTAACGATATAAATGAAATCTATATTTAATAACAATATAAATGAAATCTATATATAGTAACAATATAAATGAAATCTATATTTAATAACAATATGAATGAAATCTATATATAGTAACAATGTAATTTGAATCTATATATAGTAACAATGCAATTTGAATCGATATATAGTAACAATGTAAATGAAATCTAAATTTAGTAACAATATAAATAAAATTTATGATTAGTAACAATATAAATGAAATCTAAATTTAGTAACAATGTAAATGAAATCTAAATTTAGTAACGATATAAATGAAATCTATATTTAATAACAATATGAATGAAATCTATATATAGTAACAATGTAATTTGAATCTATATATAGTAACAATGTAATTTGAATCGATATATAGTAACAATGTAATTTAAATCTATATATAGTAACAATATAAATGAAATCTATATATAGTAACAATGTAATTTGAATCTATATATAGTAACAATATAAATGAAATCTATATATAGTAACAATGTAATTTGAATCTATATATAGTAACAATGTAATTTAAATCTATTTTTAGTAACAATGTAAAGGAGATGTCGTTACAAGATGCGTTGAATATCTCGTTAGATAATGAAGAGATACAGTATACCTGTAGTAAATGTCAGTATGATAGATCTCTAGTCAGTCACAGATTTACCTCCCTTCCCAGGTATGTACTCACCTTCACCTTGTCTTTAATTCGAATTTGACCTTTACTTTGCCATTGACCTTTGCTCTTACCTTGTCTTGTGTATTGGCTTTAACCCTTGGTTTAAACTATGGCCTTCACATTAACTATGACCTTTACTTTTACCATGACCTTCACATTGACTTTAAAACTTCGCCTTGACTTCGACCTTCTTCTTGACTTTGACATTTGCTTTGATTTTCACCTTGACTTTTAACCTTTAACCTTCACCTTGACTTTAAACTTCACCTTGACTTTAACTTTGACCTTCACCTTTATCATTCTCATTCACTTTGACCTTCACCTTGACTTTCACCTTAACCTTTAACCTTCACATTGACTTTGATGATTCCTTAACCAATTTTATTGATGGATACTTTGTGTTTTATAATGCTGTTTCATTTCATTGATCCAATAACCGTTTTCTATTTTCTGATTTTAGAATATTAGTTTTACATCTAAAAAGAAATCGTTATGACAGTCTGGCTGGTAAGAATGGTAAAGTGATACGCAGTATACAGATACCAACTAAATTAAACCTGAGTTATTTCTGTACAGAAGACACTGTACCTTGTAATACTGCTCCAGATTTTATACCCAATTATAGGTTAGATTTCTATTTCTTATCCTTCAAATTATAGGTTAGATTTCTATTTCTTATCCTTCAAATTATAGGTTAGATTTCTATTTCTTATCCTTCAAATTATAGGTTAGATTTCTATTTCTTATCCTTTAAATTATAGGTTAGATTTCTATTTCTTATCCTTCAAATTATAGGTTAGATTTCTATTTCTTATCCTTTAAATTATAGGTTAGATTTCTATTTCTTATCCTTCAAATTATAGGTTAGATTTCTATTTCTCATCCTTCAAATTATAGCTTAGATTTATATTCCTTATCCTTCAAATTATAGGTTAGATTTATATTTCTTATCCTTCAAATTATAGGTTAGATTTATATTTCTTATCCTTCAAATTATAGGTTAGATTTCTATTTCTTATCCTTCAAACTATAGGTTAGATTTATATATCTTATCCTTCAAATTATAGGTTAGATTTCTATTTCTTATCCTTCAAATTATAGGTTAGATTTATATTTCTTATCCTTCAAATTATAGGTTAGATTTCTATTTCTTATCCTTCAAATTATAGCTTAGATTTCTATTTCTTATCCTTAAACTATAGGTTAGATTTATATTTCTTATCCTTTAAATTATAGGTTAGATTTATATTTCTTATCCTTCAAATTATAGGTTAGATTTCTATTTCTCATCCTTCAAACTATAGGTTAGATTTCTATTTCTCATCCTTCAAATTATAGGTTAGATTTCTATTTCTCATCCTTTAAATTATAGGTTAGATTTCTATTTCTTATCCTTCAAATTATAGGTTAGATTTCTATTTCTTATCCTTTAAATTATAGGTTAGATTTCTATTTCTTATCCTTCAAATTATAGGTTAGATTTATATTTCTTATCCTTCAAATTATAGGTTAGATTTCTATTTTTTATCCTTCAAATTATAGGTTAGATTTATATATCTTATCCTTCAAATTATAGGTTAGATTTATATTTCTTATCCTTCAAATTATAGGTTAGATTTATATTTCTTATCCTTCAAATTATAGGTTAGATTTCTATTTCTTATCCTTCAAATTATAGGTTAGATTTCTATTTCTTATCCTTTAAATTATAGGTTAGATTTATATTTCTTATCCTTCAAATTATAGGTTAGATTTATATTTCTTATCCTTCAAATTATAGGTTAGATTTCTATTTCTTATCCTTTAAATTATAGGTTAGATTTCTATATCTTATTCTTCAAATTATAGGTTAGATTTATATTCCTTATCCTTCAAATTATAGGTTAGATTTATATATCTTATCCTTCAAATTATAGGTTAGATTTATATTTCTTATCCTTCAAATTATAGGTTAGATTTATATTTCTTATCCTTCAAATTATAGGTTAGATTTATATTTTTTATCCTTCACCATGTCACCTTGGTGTATTGAACCTAACTCTGACCCATGTAAAATAAAGAGTCTATGTTTGTTCCCATGGGTTGAATGTTAGACAGGACCATGTCACCTTGGTGTATTGGACCTAATTCTGACCAATGTAAAATAAAGAGTCTATGTTTGTCACCATGGGTTGAATATTAGACAGGACCATGTCACCTTGGTGTATTGGACCTAATGCTGACCCATGTAAAATAAAGAGTCTATGTTTGTCACCATGGACTGAATGTTAGACAGGATCATGTCACCTTGGTGTATTAGACCTAATTTTAGCTGAGCCAGTCAGTAATAGTGTTCACAACTGACTGTGGAAATTTGAGCTTTCAAATCCATGTGTGTCCAGAATTATCTGCATTTGAATGTTAAAATTTTCAATACAGTGCATCAGTAATTTGGAATAAATTACCGAAATCAATTCGACAATGTGAATCTGTGTCTGCATTTAAATGTAAAGTGAAAACTTGGTTGTTTAGTTACTATCAATAACTCACCAATGGAGATCACTGGAATGCGCCTTGAGAAATTCCATGAGGATTTAATTGCTGCACAATTTAAATATCGTCATTATAAAATGATGACTCATCAATTTAAGATACACTGTAATATACAGAAAAGATGTATATAGGAATAATGAGTAAAATTCCTAGTTCGAGATATTTGAAAGGAATTATGTGATTTTCGTACATTTCAAGCACTTCTGAAGACTATTTACATATATTCAAGACTCAAATCAACCCCCAAAAATGGCGCATCTGTCCCTTTAAG